TCAAAAGAAAGCTGCGGAAGGGGGGCAGGGAATATGAGGGACACTTTCCAGGGAGAATACATATTAATCTCACTGAATTTTCAGCCTTCATACGAGTTACTGTTAGATTATCCCCCCAACACACACACCTGCTAATAAGGTACTGCTAAAGTTGGGAACAGGCAAAATAGATGGTCCTAGAAACCCTTCACTAGCACCTGTGCACCTCCTACTCTTTAATTATTATCCATACAGCATGTGAAACTGCATCTCCATCTGGAAAATGAAAAATAGAAACAAAGAGCGACTAAAATGATTTGGCCCAGCTCACACAGGAAGTCTGTGGTAAAGATAAGAATTAAATAAAGATCTAAGTTCTTGATTGTGAATCCAGTCCAGTGCCTTCATCACAAAACTTTTTTGTCATGGTGTTAATTTTATAATACTATTTGAATTGTAATGAAACACAAGTACACACTGTGGTATTATATAACATAATGGGTGATCCATTTTTTATGTACAAATTGAAAGTCACCTTGCATTAAAAATAGAAGTGTTATCATGATTGCTGTTCCTGTTGTACTAAACCTCATAACTGCAGCTGGAAGTAACACTTGTAGCAAATTGGATTTTAAAATACTATGATGGTAGAGAAAGCAACTGCAGTGACAGGATGGGTGTAAAACAGAAAAAAGGTAGTCTATAGCAGTGAAAGCCCAAAATATAACATACCTACACTTTTCCTGCAGCCCCTCTAATGGTGTGCTGCTTTGGTTGTAGCTAGTTAATGGGGAGGAGGAGAAAGCTTACCTAGAGCTAGTGTAATAAGTATAGCATTGCACGACTTCCAGGAAAGGCTAGGACATAAATGTAAAGCACTTACTGTGAAGAAAACAAATATATAATGCTAGTTCCTCTTAGGTGCTCTTCAGGCCTAGGTGAAAACCGGTGATGGAAAGGTAACTTAAATATCAAGAAAACTCACTTTTCACTGAGGTCTATTAGATTATGGAACAGTCAGCTGAGAACAGAGGAGAAAGTCCAGTGACTTGGGTCTCTTACAGCCATTAATTTTATCTTGGGACAGTTGCTGCTCTCCCAGGAGAAACCATGAGTATACAGAAGTTCAGGCTTTTTCTCTCAGAGTAAAATGACCACTCCAGAAGAAATATAACCTGGGTACAACCAGGGTTAAAGCACTTCCAGGAGAGTTTCTCCTGGGAAAGCAACTGTCTACATGCTGACAACACAGATTGACCATGGGCAGTCTGGGTTACCCAATTAGGGCTGCCTTATGCACTACTACCATCTGTTGCCAGGTGGATTAAGGGAGCCTGCAGAGCACACTGAGATGTGTGCACAGCCCCCCAGCCCTTACACACCTTGCTGCACAGTGCCATTACTGCAAGCTGTCTACTCTTCAGGGCCTCACCATTTGAATGTCTGTACACATGGTTCTGGGTAAGTTTTTCTACCATGAGAAGAAACCTGAGAGAATTCTCCCAGATTATTTGAATGTCTGTACACAGCTTTGACCATTTAAAATTTGCTGGCTTTATAACCCCAAAAGATATGTCAGATCTGAGCTTCTGTTAGACACCAGGCTCAGTGATTGAATGAAAATAATAGTCTGTACAGTACCTTGCATACACTAAAAGCTGTTGCCAGCATAGCATTAATATTACAATGCCTTAAACATAACATCAGTTATTCCCTCATAATGGGATAAGAGTAATAATTCTGATTAGCCTATTCTTGTTCCAGCAGGCTGGGCAGCAGCACTGTGAAGTTTCTGCAGTGAAAGACATCTTGCATTCACTTCCCCTTTGAGCAGGCAGCTTTTGTTACCATTGTTAAAAGGATCATATGACTTCTGGTAACTGAGGAAAGTCAGCTATATTTTCCTTGACAGTGGTACCTGTACTTCAAACATTAATTTCCTGAGCTGAGTGAAATACATTGCTATTAAAGGCAGAGTGTAAACGTGCTTTAGGTTGGAATCTTTGAAGTCTAAAAAAAAAAGTGCTCACTGACAACCACCACAGAGCTTTCAAGGCTCTTTGTATTTATTGCAAGGCTCGATTCTATGATTTGGGATTAAGTTTATGTTATTTAAAATTGTAAACATCCTTGTGATGAAGAATTTTGGAATAAAACCATCTTTACAGTTTAATGATTAGAAAGGGTTTTTTATTATTTAATAAAAAAGGACAATGTCAATTTACTTTTGGACCACAGTATAAAGAGTAAGAAAATGGTTTCACATGAAATACTGTAGTCTTGCCTTGTGCACTATTTGCATGTGTGGCATGTTAAAGCTGAGCAGCACAGCCCTGTGGCAGGTTGCAGTGCTCTGCTTCCCAGGTGTGAGGAATGGGTCCCTTCCCCACTCGCTCCAGCCTTCTCAGTTGCCGGCCCATCTGCACTTTTTCTATCCATACTTTGGAGTCTAGGAGCAAGATCCCAAGCTTCACATGTGCTAGCAAGTTGAAAGGGCACTGCAGGAAGCACAGCATCAGTGACTGCTTAATGTGTTCATGTGAAGCAGACAGAGAGAGGGTGCCAGCAGATGTTAAATTAATGGTGTGATTAAATCTATTCCTGATCCCCAAAACTGTGTGTCCTGCCCTGCATATGTGGCATAGCAGGACACCCAATTGTTAGGATCCAGGATTAGATCTCACTGTGCCATTAAATTTAACACCTACCAGTGCTCTCTGTCTGTCTGTCTTGCATTGAGACAAGCTGTTGATTACCACTTACAACATGCAGTATATTTTCAAAAACTAGCTTTTGCCAAGAAAGATCGGGTTAGTAAGTCTCTGTGATTTTATTACTTCTAATTATAGGATATGACAGCCAGATTTGACTGGGAAATATCACATATCACACAATATTATTTTTCTCTAAAAATTCCCCCCAAATTCCCATCTCTTACTCACTGATGAGTCCCTGGTTTTAACCTAGTGGTGAGGGACAGCATTTCCCTGGCAGCAGTTTGTAGCTTCAGGTGACGTTTAGGGTAACAGGCTGTTATAGGGGAAACTTGTGGTGATATAACTCCATAGCATTATGGGTATAGTTGTACAGGCTTAACATTTCAGCTGTCCTGCAGGGTAAATTTTATTGAACAAATGCTGAAATCGTGTTTCCAAAACCCTAACCCTTTTTCTTCTGGCAGTAGCAGTGAGCATGTGAGGTTCCAAGGATCAAATTCTGGACTCTGTTACGCAGATTATTATCTGATGCTATGCTAGGATAGCTGAGCATAATTTGGCCCCAGAAATATATCAGCTCAAATAAGCAGACAACAGTTGTATGTAATATGTCATACTGTGAATTCCTGTCTCATATTTTAAGCACCATGGACGCTTAAAAGGAAGCCAAACATAAATAAAGCAACAAATGTATCCTTAGGACAAAGCATGTGTGTGACTTCACTTATACAAAAAGTTTGAGTGGTAGAAGAAGGCTCTGTTTCTAACAACATACTCGTTTTGCTTATTGGAATTTGAAACCAGTGGTCTTGTGACCTAGGCAGAATAGAATTGTGGAAGGATTACAATAATGTTGAAGAACACTACAAATTAGAAGAAAAATGCATCTTTGCGGAAATCAATCCAGCCTGGTGAGAGCTCTAAACATAAAGAAATGTTAAAGAATTAAACAAACTGAGTGTTAACCTAAGCAAATCTAATCCTCTCCTGGGAGTGGGGTATGATTCCTGTATGCAAAAGGAGAGAAGAGAACCATCTGTACTCTTCTAAATGGAGTGTGTGGTCTAAAGCCAAAAGATAGTTATTCCAAGTCCAGAGTGCATGAATATGAGAGGAATGTATAATAAAGACATTATTGCAAATATATTCTTGAAAGTATAATAAATAATAAATAATTTAACATTCCATATATAATTTATTATGAACTGATAAAAACCATGGCTCTGTATAAGTCACAGTGCTTGACATTATAAGAAGCATACATTTGGCAAAGGCAGACAACATTCACCAGACAGAAGATGCAAAAGGTCTCTGAGAGTCTTTTATATAAAACAGATATTTACAGTGCAGTGAGTTACTGTGAATTGCAGAAGTGTCGCTGTGTTTTATGGAAAGATCTGAACGTAGAGAAGGTAAGTACCTGGAGCAAGAGGATACAAGAATCCAGGTTGTTGGGTTTAAAATTAAAGAAAATGTATAATGCAAAAGATGAGATGAAGTAAAAGCAAGACAGGATTCATTGGTAGAGCAAAGAAGAGTAAGAAACAGAAGATATGGGGAAGGAAGAAATGTGCAGAGCATATGACTCAGTTGTTGCATTGCCAGTGGCATCAGTCCCTATTTTTTCTGTTCTTTCTATGTAAGCTAGAAAATATAATACATTTCTTTCTCTACAATATATCTGGGTACTCCATTCTCCGAGAAGTGGTTCCTTTTATAATAAATCATTAAACCATAAAATGAAAAAGTCTGTAGAGTAGAGTGATGCAGCATTTAAACATATCCTATACATCAGGCTCTCCTACATGGTATTACTTGTTAAGTTTTTTTCTGTACAAGATAAAGAAACTTGGATAAACATAACAATCCAAACGTTATGAAAGGTTAGCAGAGTTTGGATTTAAATCAGCGTATCTTCAAATACCATAACCTGAGGCAGTGATATGCAATGACAACAATGCAAGTACCTCCAAGCTAGTATTCCTTTTGAAGTCCATAGGATGAATTCATTACCTGCAAAGTACTGTATCCAGTTCCTTCTGAATGGGAACTCTTCATTTGACTTCAAAGGGCACTGGACCAAGACCCAGAATTAACCTATGACATTAATTTAACTATTAGTTATCCAGAAACCCTTGCAATTCTTACATCACGTGATCTTGCTTCTTTGCTTTTTTTCTATTTGGTTGGGTCTCTGTATTCATTGCTTGCTGGCTGTTGTTACATGACTTCAGAATGAGATGACTGGGTCAGTTACAAGCATCACATAGACATGTACACATACAATTTTCCTCCTGAAAACGCTCATGAATTCACTTAAGTTGTTCCACCTTACACCTCAAAAAGGTGATGATAGGGTTTGACAACCTTATCCTAACATCACTACATGGACAGACATCAAGCAGTTGATGACCATTATGGCCAATTCACACATCATTCAGACCAGTCACTGGAGCAGCAACTTACCCAAAATTAATACTCCTGTGAGTCAGAAATACATGTAACAGTTCAACTAAACTGACCTGGTTTATATTTTCCCTGTGCCAGGTAAAGGTCCAGATTCCTCAAGGGAGCTCAGCTCTGTATACTATAGTGCTGAGCTTTTAAGTCTCTGGAAAGTAAATTAGTTACAATAAATTTATAAACCAAAGATTAGTGCACAGACTCAGTCATACTTGAAAACTTTATATTTGTTTCCCTTTCCTGTTGGTGCTACAGTCAGTTTGTGCTGGTAATGGAAGACTCTTTCATTTTTTTAACAACATGTACATTATTTAATAATTCTGGCTCTTGCTCAGCATGTGCCCCACTACTTTTCCTGAAATTTTCTGGAGTATTCAGCTGGTATGATTCTTTAGTTTCAGTCCTTAAACACTTCAGGCATGCTGAACAGGAGTCTCGCATTTTGACAAAGTCCTGATGGGTGTTTTCACTGGAAAAACAGTACAACACTGGATCAGCAACACAGTTAAAAGTAGTCAGCAAGAGAGAAATATGGTAAATATTGAAGATCTTCTCAGCAAATGTGCAGTTGTTCTCAAATACACTGCGAACCACCAAGAGGATGTGGTATGGTCCAAAGCAAGCCAAGAAAATGGCAACTGTACTTGAAACAAGCCGTTTGATTTGGATTTTTTTCTTCTTTTGAGTGCCATGGCTCTTGTGAACCACTTGTAAAATGCCACAGTAAGAAAAAACCAGAAGAAAGAAGGGGAAAAAAAACCCAGCAAAGAAGCGGTAGAAATTGAGATTATGCTCCCAGCTCTTGATGGGATAATGTTCAAAGCATACAGCATGACTTTCGGCATCCTTACTAACTTCACCATGCTTAAAGACAAACCAACTTGTCAGAATTTCTTTGGACCAGATAACAACGCTCACTACAGCAGCAGCCTTCATTGTCCGAAACTGATGAAAGCGGAAAGGGTGCACTACTGCTAGATAGCGGTCAATGGAGATGCAGCAGAGGAAGCCCACGCTGATATAGATATTCTCATACAGGAGGATTCCACAGATTTTGCACAACAGTTCATTGTATGGCCAGTTGTCCTGCTGTAAAACATACTGGAGCCAAAAGGGCAAAGAAAAGATGTAGAACAGGTCTGCCACAGTTAAATTGCACAAATAGATGCCCAGTTCATTTTTAGCCTTAATCTGCAGGTACCCGTAGTATAGTGAGAGGCAGTTAGCTGGGAGACCTAGTACAAAGACAAGGATGTATATGACAGGAGATAACGTCTGGTGTATACCATGGTTAATGGTACAGTTTATTGAATTATTCCCAGATGCATTCTCTGTGAAATTCTCCATCTTCTAACAATGACCAGATCATTCATGAGGATCCCAAGTGGGTAGCTGTAGATTTTAATTTCACACATAACTCATTCCTTCCACACAGCCTTCATGCTGAAGTGTCTGTTGGCCTTAGGATGCTAACAACCTGAAAGCAAAACAGATGAAAATTCTTATAAGGAATACCACTGGAAAATATGGTCTATTTTAGTAAGGTAGTCCCCAGATTTCTTATGTTCTTTAGTGCAAGTTAAACCTACCTGAGAAGTCTTGTGATGTAGGAATTGTAAATGTGTGAATTAATACTTTACACTTCTATAGAATTTTCTGTAAAAGGATCTCAAAGCCCCTTACAAACATTAGCCAATGTAACTTTTCACTCTTCTATCAGGTGAGGAAATAACACCTCCATTTAAAAAATGAGGCACAGAGACATTTATGTTGACCACTCAGGATTGTAGGAGTTCTCCAGCAGAGGAACAGAGGCTTTTTATACTGCTCTCAGGTCAGTGCAGCACATACAAAAATAGAGTACTTTAAAGAAAATACGGATTTCATTCCCTAAACTGTATATTTATATATTCCTAATACATTTATTTACATAGACATATTGGAGAATTAACATCACACACACACACAAGCTCAAAAGGGGAAGCATGGAAAACATTTAAATTTGCAAGCAACATCTCTTGCACAAGTACAGCTCCAAAGCTGCCTTTCTCTATTGAGAAAGAAGAATTCCATAAAAATCATGCATCAATTGTCTCTGCCCTGCCAGACAGTCCATTACAAATTTCCTTAACTACAAAAGGACCCTAAAAATGCCTGTATCAGAGAAGTCAACCTGTCGCTCCAGAGTTGGTGTCATCAGGTGGGTTCTCTTACAGGTTGGCTGATCTCCTATGCAGGACTTTAAACTAGATTCACTGGGGGACGGGGATGCAGACGACAGTGAGAACCTAGGATCAATAAACCACGAACCATGCACTGGAACAGCCCACTTAGCCCACTAAGGAGGATAGTTGGAGAAGCGCTGAAGTCTCAGAGGGGAGGGGAGCCGGGTGTCCAAAGGGAGTGGTCAATCCTTAAGGAGATGATCCTCCAAGCCCAGAGGAAGGTAATCCCCAGGAAGGTCAAAGGGGGCAGGAGAGCATATAAGCCTCACTAAAAACATCCGGGAATGTCTCCTTGCCAAAAAGGAGGCTTACTCCCAATGGAAAGGAGGGGTCATCACTAAGGAGGACTATT